TTCATCTTGGCAGGTTGGCGGCAGCGCTGGGCTCTGCGGCAGCGCCGCGGCGTTGTTCTTATACCAACATCACACCCTCGCCTCGGTGCGCGCCGATAACACCCCTCTCAGAGTCAACACAGGGCTTTGGCAGCAGAGATGAATCACTGGCCACGGCCCAGGCGAGGCAGAGCGGGCGGTCGAGTGTGGTTGCGTGGGCGGGGGGTTGGTGTTGCGGGGTAGGACACGCGGGACGGGGCCGTGCGGAACAGGATGGGGTCTCCGTCCCGGCACCAGCCCCTCGCCCTTTGCCAGTCCCTCAGCCCAGCGGAGCTGGTGGAACCTCCCAGACGCTTTTGGGGAGTGTTTCCCCTTTCCTTTGCCTTACCCATGGCCGTGGGGGGGCCCACATCCCAGCATGGAGTCACCGAGTGGTTTGGGTTAAAGGGACCTTAAAGCTCCTCCAGTTCCACCTGCCCCGGGCAGGGACATCTTCCACTAGAGCAGGTTGCTCCAAGCCCCTGTGTCCAACCTGACCTCGTGTTTGTGTAGGGCCATTTAAGTTGGGTCCCAGTGAAGCTGACTGGAGTGGCTGGAATTCTCTCGTGCTGCTCCTCAGGTGCTCCCTGGTGACCTGCGATCCCGCTCCAGGTTCCTGCAGGACAAGGGATGTCTTCGTAGCATCGTGCAGCTGCTGAACAACCTCTACGAGGCAAAGCCTGGTTTGTGCTGAGCTGCTCAGGAATCTGCACCTTTTGCTGTGCAGCAGCAGCTTGTGCCAGCAAAGCGCTGTCAGGAGGAGGCAGCTTTGCAGGGGTGGCAGCGACACGTTGCTTTACAGCCACTAATGGGCTCTTCCCTGGCGGCGCGTTTTTGTCTAACACGGTGGCCGCCTCTTGGAGCCTCGGTGAGTGCAGATGAACACATAAGGCCTCCAGGTAGGAGAGGAAGGGAGCTGGGGGGGAGGCGAGGATGTTCTTCCTCTCTCCAGCCCGTGGCCGGAGGCTCATGGTGATGCTGTGTGGTCCCTGTGGTTGTTTTCCATGTTGCTGGCACTGGAATAACTGGTGTGGGTGCCACAGAGGGACATGTTCTACCCAGGGAGCACTGTTCATGTACAATCGGACCTAGCCCTGTGCCAATCCATTTCCCATTTCTCCTGGTTAGTCTATTTTATCCCATTAAAGGCACAGCTACTGGGGATGCTGATGGCAAATCCAAATCTGACCCAAATCCCTTACGTTCCCCCAGGATTTTTTTGCTGAGTAGCTTTTAAAAGCTATTATCTCTTCCCCTTTTAAGATGCTGTTGAACGTACCAGCCTCCCTTCTTGTCCTCATCATATATTCACAGACGTGACTGCAAACCAAACCCTTCCTAAAACAAAAGCCATTGCAAGTGCCAAGATCAGCTGAAAGCAGCAAGTTGATTGTCATAGACATGGTTTATAACCCAAAAATCCTGTAAACAAATCCAGCCTGAAGGGTCGTTTGGCTTCTGAGATAAATGTGAGTGGGAGCTGTAGGACAGACAAGCCAAGTACTTGAAGCAAAACAGTTTATTTAGTAGAAAAGAGCCCAAATTGGATCATCATAATCTGCAGACTCTGGACAGTTGATTCAGCATTAAATTATGAAGATGAAAGAAAGAGGCAAAAAGAAGTTTAGAATAAGCAAATCTATTTTAACTTGGATTTAGTTCTTTTAAAGGTCATTTTAAACCCCGAAGTCTTAAAGGTAAATCTGTAAATAGTCCTGTGATGCTCCCAGGCAGCAGCTGCCCTAAAGTGTATTTAAGGGTTGTCATAAAGGGGAGATTGAGGTGAGCTCTTGTGCAGAAGCTCTTCCCTGGGAGGGTGCTGAGGCGCTGGCACAGGGTGCCCAGAGAAGCTGTGGCTGCCCCATCCCTGGCAGTGTTCAAGGCCAGGTTGGACACAGGGGCTTGGAGCAACCCGCTCTAGTGGAAGGTGTCCCTGCCCGGGGCAGGGGTTGGAGCTGGAGGAGCTTTGAGGTGCCTCCAACACAAACCATTCCACGATTCCATGATTCTGTGTTACCCATCCAGCTTTCCACACTTGCCCTCGGACACATTGGAAGTAGGTTATGCACCGTGTGTGGGAAACGTGCCTCTCGCCCATTCAGCGCAGGGCACTTCACTCATCTGAAGAACCCTCCTTTCAGGTTCTCACTCCGTTATCTCTGCTCTTTTCTTACATCTCCATAAGCCACTTCCATGATTAGCTCTGAGCAACTCGAATCACGCCCAAGGGGCACTTTCTGACAAGCCTTTCTTCTGTGTTTACCAAATGCTGATCTGTTTGCCCAGCACTGAAAGAGCGAGACCCTGCAACAGAAACCCTCACTTCCCAATGCAAACTGCAAACAAGCTTCACGTCAACGGTCACCTGCGGCGCAGAAGCTGTGGGTGAAGCAGGAGGGACTGGGAGGGAGCTGATGGGTGCTGCACCCCTGGGCCCAGCGGATGGGAGGCAGAGACTGAGCCATGGTGGGGACCCATCAGGGGACCCCAACTGGAGGTGCAGCTCCTGGGGGTGAACCCACTCTGAGGGGTACATTGTGCTTCTCTCCTTGCCTTTGGGAAGCGCGGGGGGATTCACTCAGATGCTCGGATGTTGTCCGAGCACTGCAGCAGCGTGGTGGTGATGGAGGTGTTTAAACACTCACGGGCACTGTCCCCACGAGTCAGGAACCCCTCGGGAAGGGGGGTCTCTTGCTCCTTGGCCCTCTCCTGCCAAGGGAAGAAGTGCAGGAGAGGCCAAGCTGCTGCAGGGTATCTCCAGCACCGAACCAGTGTCACAGTGTGAGAGCTGCACAATCAGCTCCAATGGAGCAGGGGGCCACTGCTCCCCAAATCTGCTGTGAACCCACGAGGGTAGGTCTGATAGTCTGCGGATCACATCCCACCGCTACTGAGTGATGCTGCAAGTTACTGCTGGCCACAAACATTCCCAGAAAGCAGAAAACTGGGCATGTGGAGGCCTATTGACCACCAGCAGACGCCACTTGGTGCCAGGCTCTGGGACCATGTCCCTTATGACTTACAGTGTTTTACCCCTATAGAAGACTTCTACTTGGCAGCACCCAGAGCAGCTTTTACG